TAACCCTAAAAGGATTTGGGTCCATAGAGCTTCTCTACAGCGTTATAGCTATTTTACTGTAGTTGTAGCAGATGCCACGGTAGGCGTCAACAAAGAGACTGACGGTATTTGGATCCGAAATTTTGTCCACAGATAAGTCTAATTGGAATTAGAATGGCCTGAAAATTTCAGCTCAAAAGAATGTTTCCTTCGCAAGATGTTGAATTTTCAAAAATTACACAGATTCCATAAAAGATACGAAAACCTCATGTTTTTTTGACATTCAATATCTCGCGAAGGGAGCATCTTTTGAGCTGAAATTTCCAGGGCATTCTAATTACAAGTAGATTTATCTGTGGGCAAAATTTCAGATCCAAATACCACCAGTCTCTTTGTTGATGCATACCGTACCATATACTAAAACTAAAGTAAAATGACTATGACTCTGTAGAGGAGGTCTATGGGCCCGTATCCTTTTAGGATTATTCTTGTCTAGAGGTTCGATCTATATACCAAAAATATGAGCTCAATAGCGGTGAATCATTTCGGGTGGTTTCCTCGTTAGAAAAATGCTGTCTTGATGTAAGTGACCAAAATCAGAGAATGTCACCTGTTTGATTAAAGCAATAGTACTGAGTATTATTGCAACTGAATGATATCATTCAAGTTTTGTCTGTCGTACAGATTAAGTTCTAGAAGAATATAAGAGAAAACAGTTTTCAGTTTGATTATTTGAAATTCAACAATAAATGATTTTGAGCACTTCGACAATGAGTGGTTCAACACTTTTCTATGAACGATTTGAGAGAAACACAAGGCTATGATACTCAAGATGTTCTCTGATATTTCGAAGCAGAAATATACCCAAGATCAGTCTGAATAGTATTGCTTATCGATGTACTCATACTATTGTCTTTCGACTCAATTGACCAAGTCAAAATTCATCTGTCTGATAAACGGTTGCATCAAGAGAGAGAGTTGATTGTTTGTTTCTGCAAAACATTCACTGAACTATCATGTTTGTCTCAATTAAAAAACAAAAAGTCGAACACGAATGCATTGAAAGATTGAAAATTATTTCCTTCTCTGAAAGAATATATCTTCAATAAAACAGATGGCATGAATAATAAATTAATCATAACCAGCTGTTTTCTCCATAGTCAGTGAGGCATCGCTTTGCAACTCATGATTGACTAGCAATTCTCTTGTACTGATTTTAAAAAGAATATATTGAGTTAACAATACTTGTTGTTCGTATGAGAAATTCTGTCATCGTCTAGTGCTCGATATGAATCCAAAGGATGGTACACGAATCAGCAAGAGAATTATCCGCATGTGCTTTTCAGTGGCAGAGAGACGATAATATCTGAATTTTCGAAGGATATCATTGATATTAAGTTCTCCATTCGTGCTCAATAGCTAAAGAAATTATTCGAACGTTGACAGGCTCTTACACAGTCGATCTGATTTGAACAAAGTAGAACACAACGTTGAATATTCGAAAACCTACGTAAGTGCTTTTGAACTTCAAGTATTTGTCATCTAATGATATCGAAAGACGACATTTTCATAGAAAAGTCAAATTGGCAGAGATAAATGAGAATGGGTTAATTACACGGAAAATCTTGGAAATTCATTTTTTTTCTTTAATTGTTTCTCGACGCCTGATGAATTCCTTTTGTGGTCAGTCCAATCACAATGCTAAAACGTAAGTCACATTAGATACGCCAATGTCACAAAAATTCTTATTTATGAGATTTGGTCGAAAGCTCGATGGCAAACTATATAGAAACAAATCTTGTCAATACTCAGGGCGAATGTAGGTGTAAGTGTGGATTTCACACCCGTACCCTTCCCAATATTCAAGTGTGTATGTCGATCTTACTTGATGATGATGTTGTTGTTGAATTTATAAATTGTATAATTTAGATAATTGATTGTGTATTTTGTTTTATTGACAATAGTAATCGTCTGATTAAAAATTTGTTGAAAATTATTCACACTAGATATGCTTCTTCTAATTGATTTAATAGTCAACATTTCAACACTGACTGGATCAAACCTGATAAAAGATTTAACGATAGGAAAAAATCTTATTTTTCTTCTCTGTTTGTCGTCAAATCTTCGGTATTTTGAATACTAATGATGTATGTATTATATGTCTTATGTTTATTGGCTCTAATTTGCTGTAATAAAGCATTTTCTTTCGAGATATTATTGGATTGATTGACAAATATTTGCAGAAGATTCTTTGATCAAATTAAAATTTGAATTTCATCCATTATTATTGAATGCTCGTCGTCGTTCTCCGAAATTCGTCTTACTCGTATTTGAATTAAATGACATTTTTTCATGAACCATCAAACATTGTTTAAACTAAAAGAAACTTTGCCAAATCCAGTTTTGATAAAACCAATTCTAGAATATCGTTTCAAAAATGTTTATTTTCTTCTAAATAATTTTTAAGAAATTTTCTCATTTTTACTTTTTATTATATCTAAGACTAAACATATTGCTATCTTTAAAGTATGATTCATTGAATTATTTTGTCTACATGGTATTGTAGGTGAAAAGAATTGATTTCCATTAGTGACACACAAAATGAAATACAATCATCATTGAGAAGAAAAAATTGAACTTTATAAATAAGTGAAACAAAGATTTATTGGAAACCATGTACAGTTATATAGGTATACCTCAATTAGAATTTAGGAACTGTCATCAGTCTACAAACTAATATATATAATATGTTACAGGCAAAATTGAATTTTAAATAAAAGTAAACTTACGCAAATTTCGTTTTTAGTTTGGGGCAAAAATGTAAAGTAATTTTCTTTTATTTAACAGCAAAATTAAATTTTCATTTTCATTAACAGGATGCAACTCGTATTTGTTTTTATGAACAAGCAAATCAACACACTTTTTTCTTTTGGCAAATTAAATTCTGAGAAAAAGGTATTTTATTATTTTACCACAGAAAATATATACACTAAAGAGTCCTTCATTGTTTTTGATTGGAACCTAATCCATTAAAACTTAACAACATAGCATATTCATATTTTAAATATTATTTATGAACCAGATCAAATATGAAGACAAATAATCATCAATAAAAAAAATACTACTCAAATAAACGTAAACTTTAAGATCCTTTTTTTTTCTTTGCTCAAAACCTATTAAGACAAACTAAATTTTAGACTTCAATTAAAATAAAATACAACTTAATATAAATATATAAGATCAGTTCTTTGTTCTTTTTTGTGTACTCAAAAAGTGAGTACCCTCTAGAATCGGTCAGTGTGTCCGGCCATCCGTTTACACGATAACTTTTGAAAGGAGAGTCCGATTGCGATGAAATTTTCTACACAGTTCAGTCTTAACAATATCTCGGTCGAGTTCGAAGATGAGCATAATTGGCCGAGCCGTTTCTGAGTTATTACAAAAATAGTCATTTTTCCCTATGGATTCCTATAGGAAAATCGATCTATTCTNGCAATAGCCAACAATGTCAAGTGTTTATAGGAAAGATTTACCAGGATAATTTTGATGTCCACACATTCTAGGATGACTCATCTGTCTAATTGACTTTTTGAAGTACACATAACTCTCGGATTTAAATCCGAGGTTTCCACATTTATTTTAATTGTTGTTGAATCTTCTAGAAACTCAGTCTAAATTTATGTCATCTTAACTTTGCCGCACACATTTATTAAACCACTTTCTTGCCAGTATACTTCTCTTAGATGATCATTACTACTCACTGAAATTGTATTATAAATGTAATTAAGAAAGAGAAAATGCGACATAAAGATGAAAAATTTTGTTACATGAAGACTTTCCCATGCTATATAAACATAAAGTTTTTTCGTTATAAGTTGAAAAGATAGAAAAAAACGTTGCAATTAAGGCTCGAAAAATAACATCGATATTTCGTTAAATTCCGAACAGACAACAACACTTAAGTCACAGTAGTCCGGTACACTCGAGTTGTTTTTCAAATTGTAAAATATTCTATTTAGTATGTTGATGGCATTTTTATAAATTAGTTCGATCAAAATGAGTATGAGTGTGACAATGTAATTTTCATATGGTTTTGAAATAAATTAATATGTATTAAGGATTTTTTTTTCTGTTTCTGATAGCAACAGAACCCCTAAAGATTGTACACTATTTGTGATCATCATAGAATGAAAAATAAATTCTTTCACATAAGAGAGAAAAGATTCAGAGACGAAGACATATTCGTTTCAGAACACAAAAATGCATCAAAAGAAGCAGAATAAGAACAACAACATCGTGTTGTTTTCTTTTCTTCGTTTCGGTATCAAATTTTAATTGACATTATAAGAAAATCAAAATTTATCTGTAGCCTTATTCTATGATTTTTCGATGAAATCGCTATCTAGTTTTTTTTTGAATTTATGTTTATTTACGTTTTTCAATCAGTTTGCTCATAGGTAATAAAGCATATTAAATTTTTTCATTCTTTGAGTTGTGTAGAATAATTCTTATAAATTCATTTTTTAAAATAAATACAAATTAAGATCGATACAAACTGTTGTAACATAGTAGAGAATAACATTATGATATTTATTTCTTGAAAAATTGTCGTATGTAATGAACAAAATGACATATATCATAAAGCTACCCAATCGAATCAAATAAGATATCCAATGTTTATCGATATATTTGAAAATTTTTTAAAAAATCTAAAATATTGTTTAATGTTTTCAAAAAAAAAATAAATATTATTTTCAAATATCAATGGCACGATATGAGAACTAACAATTGTTATCTCGTTATAAAATTAGTTGAATTGGATTTATTTATACGAGAAATATTCTGAAATTTATCGAGTATTGTTATTAAATTATATCTTTTTTTGTATAAAAATAGAAGCGCAGACATTAAAACTAAAAGGAAAGAATGAGTTAACACAATCGCGAGTAAACATACTAAAGTAATTCACGCACACACTACATTTCTTTTTTTTAATCAACTGATCAATGATTGAGAGTTGATTAGTCATCAAAACTATCATCATCACTTTCCTCCAGGTGATTTTTCAATATTCCTTCTCGTTTCTCCATTTCTTCTTTAAATGTTTGTAAACTTGCTTCAACTGCTAGATTATAATCATCATCTTCAATAGTAACATTTGAACTATCTTCATTCATACTTGATAGTGTTGATTGGCTTCTTAAATGACGAGCACGGTTTTTATTACGTATATGTTTAACTAAACGATATGTTCCATAAGTCGGTGCTCCAATAGTTGTTCCTACAGCTAATAATGCAACAGCACCAACAGCTGCTACAGGAGCAGCCAATGTAGCAGCACCAGCAACTAATCCACGAACTGTATAACGTAAAATTGGTTTATCTGGATATAAGTTATATTTACATCCTAAATAAATAATTATTCAAAGAACGAAATAAAAATAAAAATAAAAATAAAAATTTTTACCAAAAGGAGAAAATCGACTTTCATGTGAACCTAAAAATTTTATTCCTAATCTTCTTTTTCCACAATTGTAACAAAAATCACAATGACATTTCGAACAAATCATATGTGGACAACCACCATTTCTTGATATAAATACCTAAAATGAATTTTTATTCTATGTTTAAATCATTAAAAAAAAAAAAAGAAAAAATTTTATCCAACTTTGCATCGTGGACATTGTTGAGCATTTTGTTGATTATTATCAGTTTGTGCTGCCCATGTTCGAAGAAGTTTTTCTCCTTCACGATATTCTTTACAAGTCATTTTATTATGCCATGGTGCATGACAATAAAAGCACCATTCAAATTGACATTCATCACAAGTAACATGTCGTGGAATATTTTTTCTCCAACGAACACCTTGAAATAAATTTTTATCGATTTCTTTTATTGCACAACACTGTGGACAAGTTTTTATATGTGGTTCACGATTAATATCAGCATAAAAACGTTTATATCGTTCAGCCATTTCTCCATTAGGATCTTTTTCTAATAAAAATGATAAAATTTCTTCACGAGTAAATATATGTGAACATGATGGACATGATATACGAATTTTCGCTTCACTAATATGTGAAGATAAATNGTTGGTTTACTAGACGTGTTATTCACTATTTTGTAACAATTCCCATTTGTGTATGTCTTGCTCTCAATGTTTTTATGCTCATATTCGTTGCCAAGCGGCTAATCGATCACCTAAGACGTTCAACTTCGCGGCATTTGACCTATCGACGAATGAAACAATGTGTATTAGTTTTAATCGGATCATGTATCACTCAAGGTATTGGTTGGCTTCTTGGACCATTTGTATCCTTTTCAGATGAGAAAACTGTAGAGGTACTGGGGTGGTTATTTGTGGTCTGTAACGCTTTTGAAGGTTTTTGGACATTGGTTCTGTATATTTTACTTCGACAAATGCGAGTCAATGAGCAGGTACGCCTTCTTCCTGTTACAGAACTTAGAAAGAAGAAACAATTGGAAACTGCAATACAGCAGAACAAGGAACAATATAAAAATGAAGTAACATCAGTAATCAAGCCTGTTCAAACTGATCTTCAAAATGCGCGAAAAATGTCACGCTCGTTTGATGACCTGCAAGATACACATCGTAGAATTTCGACTGCATCTGAATATGATGCCTAACTTATGTCTGAAGATATAACTTTTGTTTTTTTTGCTATGTAATAGTGCTGAATTTCAAATATAACGATATCTTGAATCTGCTGGATCATTATCAATAAAACTCTCCCAGAGGGAACTTCATTTTTTACACATGATCTGTTATCTAGGCCTTCTTGTCTCGACTTGTAACTGTTTCATTGTGTTTTGGCTTAATGTATAATTACTTAGAGGATAACCAAATAACATAAAATCGAGTTGGAATTTAGTCTGAAGATAGACCAATTTATTATTAGATTATCCTAAAATTTTCAGCATAAATGAACGCTTTCTTGGCGAGATATGACAATATCAAATAATTTCAATTTTCCCAATATTTGCTAAAACATAAGTATCATTTTCAAAATTCAATATCTCGTGAAGAGAACATAAGATTATGCTGAAAATGTAGGATAGTCTAATGACAAATTGATCTACCTCCAGACAAAACTTCAGCTCGATATTACACTACATGATTTTCCTCCATGTGCCACTGCAATAAGTCAAAAACTGAAATAGAACAGTCGTAGCTCGAGCAGAGTAGGCCAGACACTCAAATCCTTATGAAGTTATTTTAGTTTCACTGAGACCTACATCTGAGCAAAATATCATGTTGAAAGCAGAACTTCACCTGGAGGAGTTTCCTAGGCAGTACTTATAAGGAATTTCGAATCCATGTTATTTATGTTCGAGATAGAAATTAGAGCATGATATAGAACCGAATTGAATTGAGTAAAGACTCCTATATTTGCTTTATTCTCTGAGCCGCACAAATTAATAAGAAAACAAGCAAATGATATGCTGAAAAACGAATTAAATTGGAAAACATCCAATTACAGCTTGATGAAGACCACCAAAATATATTGATCGTTTATCATTTGGTAAAAATTTAACATACTAATAAGTTTTTTCAATTTTTTTCTTTTAAAAAATAATCTTATATTCCGTATACATCAGAAGTGTTCCAGCAACAGTTAAGAAGGGTAAAGTAAGAAAAAGTCCATACAAAAAGTTCTCCATTTTGAAACAGTTGCTGCCAAAACGAGCAAAAGTTTTTTTTAAACAAGCTTGAACACCCACGTGTAAAAGTAAAACTGGAATTCATCGTTTTAACGCAATAATGTTTCACACAGCTGGTATTTGAACAGTCAAGTTATACACATACAAAAGAATAGAATTACAGTTTACAAACAATAAATATTATCTCTTAATTTCTCTAAATAGTAATGTTAAATGTGAGGACATAATCAACTGACACAGACGTATGATATAGTTTAAATATCTTCGACTTGGTTGAACTTTTCAATGAGATTTGAGTTTATAAATATATATAAAAAGAGAGAAATCGATAGATAGATATCTCCAACAACTTATTGGTGTAACAATTCTAACAGTAGCAAAGTGTTTCAGATTTATGTACCTTAAAACAGCGACGTAGCCAGAAATTATTTTAAGGGGGGAGGGGGGGGGGGCCACTATGGAAAAAAGGTAATTTTTTGCTTGTGAAAAATAATCAATCCGTACCCCCCCCCCCCTTACAGGCATTTAAATCCTTTCAGGAGGGATTGATCCCCACAGTTCCCCCTCTGGATACGTCCCTGCCTTAAAATCAGGCTGTTGAGTAAAAAATCACTATTTTTCATCGTAAAAAAGTTTTTCCTAGTAAACATAGTGGTTTCCCGATACTTACTTGCTAAAAATGCCAGTTGGATACTAAAAAAGGTTTTTTTTCAAAAAAGCAGGTTTATATAGGTAAATATTGGCAAACAAAATAGTTCACAATAAAAGGACACCTTCAACAGAACGATGTGAATCTCCATAGTAGTAGACCATGGATTTTTTTTTCTGAGATAGGAGAGATGTTAATAGATTTCGTGGTTCTTGGAAATCGTCAGACCTATTAGGAAATGTGTTGAACTATAATCATACCATCATTTCTGAAAGAAAGATATTAGAGTAGTAGTCAACAATGTTGTGAATTTGTGCACTTTCAGACGGGGAAGACTTCAAGGTAAGATCTACTCCACACCTGTACCTCAATTTGCTGGACCCTGGAGATATATGAGTATGGAGTTGTCTATTCATCTCATTATACTAAGTGCACTCAAAATCGTTAATTTAGCGGCATGTGAGTATTGTGAACTCATTAAGTGAATATCCTAATGATTATGTTTTGACTCTCGATACCCGAGTTATGGGTATTACGGTATTTCTCATGTTACCGGGTAACTGGTAACGTAACAAGTTGGCAGTGACTACTTATTTTTTTTTGACAGCTCTCGTCTCTTAACAGATTCTCTTCTATCGAACGTAGATTTATTCTCTTCAAATGCCATTTTCAATCACTGAGTAAATTCAATTTCATCTTGCATCAATATGCAAAAATTTATTGTCTTTGAAAATGATCGATCAAAGACTAAGCCTTTAGACAGCATATTTGGATCATTGTTGATGGTATAGTTGGTTTTTGTTTTTTAATCAAATTGAAAATAATTGTCATGTTTTTTTCTAGTCGAAGATGAAGTTCATAGTGATTTTATTGCATTACGAAGTATGTTAATACGAACAAATTTAAATGATTTACGTGATGTAACACATAATATTCATTATGAAAATTATCGTTATAAAAAGTTAAATTCATTTCATGGAAATGATATAAAAAATGGTAAAACATTACAAACACCTTCAGTTAATAAGTAATTCGAAAAATATTTTTTTTATTGAATTGGTATTATTTTTATTTTTTAATATTTTATTTTTATTTTATAGAAATTTTTTATCACAAATAGAAGATGAACGAATTGAAACGGAAACGAGATTAGAAAAAATGTCTCGTGATATGGAAGCTGTTTATCAATCAAAAGTCACAGAAAAATTACAAAAATTAGAAGAAAGCAAACAAAATGTAAAAGATTATTTTCAATTTTATAGAAAATAATTTCTCTATTGATCAATTTTAGGTTTTAAAAACTCAAGAAACATATCGATTGAATATTCAACAAGAAGAAGAACGTTTTCAATTAAAACGTGAAGAATTTGAACGTGCTCGACGAGAATGGGAAGAAAGTTTAACAAAAACTGGATTTGCTGATCAAATTGGATCACTTACGTAATATTTTGATTTTATTCTATTTAAAAGAAAATTTATTTTGTTTTGTTTTTTAGGAAAACGGCAAAAAAAGGTCTTTTTTAAAAATATTTGTTTCTTCGTTGTAAAATAATCTCACCTATCTCCAATTGTTCTTATGCACTTTTTTTCTGGTTGTGTTACATTTTTTTTGTTCTTTTTTGGATATGATGAAAAACAAATAAATTAAATTGAAAACATTGTTATAGAACAGAATAATAATGTTTAGTTTGTTGGTTATCAAGAATGTCATCGTATTCATTATTGAATTTGACATAAATCTTTTTTTGTTCTTGAAATATGTATTGTGCTCGTTATGCTTCGCAGAAGATAAATGAGACTTATTCAAAAGTATCACGTTGAAGAATAGATTAGTAAAATATGTTTCCTATAAAGATTGAGCGAATGGAGATTTTGGAACTCAAGACAAATTGCATTTAGATTTAGCCATCATCATCTTCAATTACTAAAAATTTGGTTATGTTTTCTACGAAGGTTTCAAACGTTTACAAATAGTTCACAAAAAAATGATCTCATTTATACTTCAAATGTAAAATAAAACGTCTGCATTCATGTGAATTTATTTCGTCTGGTGAAGTCGTTCACGTTCAATAGGTATAAGTCAATTTTTAGATTTTTCAAATGTCTACAGTCAAAGATATTTGCACGTGCTAAAAAGTTTTCATATTAGACAGATAGAACGAATAATTATACGTAAGTCATAGGTAAGCCTATGTAACAGAAATTCTCCAACTTGATCTCAAACATTAGTAGAGGCCTGAATGAATGTTATTTGAAAGAACTTTGAACTAATATGAAATCCACTAAGTCACTAAGGCCTGTCTGTGAGTTCGAGCAAATATTTGTTATCTACAAGTGACCAAATTTGGTTATGGTTTACTACTATTAAAAGACGAAAAGAATAAACAAAGAAAAGATATATAGATACACAAAACGGTCATCAAAAGCGTATAACAATAAGTTCTGAAGAAGGTCCGTTCTGTACAGACACATCAATAAGAAGTTTTAATTTAATTTGGTTTTTACATATTAAATTCATTAATTGTATTTATTCTATTGTAAACTATTGTATTTTACCTTAATTGTAATTGTTATCTTAAATTATTTGTTATTATGTTAATTAAAATTATTTTATTTTATCTACTTTTGTATTTATTTTATTAACTTTAATCAAATACATCATACATAGGTAGAGAAACTCTTTTCTTAAACTAAAATAACATGTTTCTGTATGATTTTGCAATAGTACACGTCAGAGATGTGAGTAATTTTGTTGGAATCGGAGCCTAGACGGGTGCTGAGAGATTTTCCGGGAAAAAAACCTGATTTTAGGTCTTGTTGGTCATTTTTGAGTGATGGGTACGTCGATTTTAGCACAAAAGGTGTCCATTCGATAGAGCTCATCGAATTCTATCTGAAATCATCATTAGTTTTGTTGGAATCGACAATCGAGAGAATCACGACGGGAATTTCTTTCTTTTTGTGCGTTTTTTCTGTAGTAAAATGGTTGTTTTGTTGCGAAGGAAGGTTTTTTTTCGGAAGAAAAGTAGTGGAATCGATAGATGTCATCGAGATCTACTTGGAACCAGGATTGGTCTAGTTGGAACCGACTTTAGTGCGAATCGTGCCGAGAAATACTCGAATCCTGATCTAAGATATCCTACGTTAAGTATTCAAGAATAATATAGAAATAAGGGTGATAGATGAAGAATTAAAATGTGAATAGAAAAACAAGGTCAATGAGTGGTTAAAATTCTTGATCAAACATATACGTCAACAGGTATATACAATAAAAGTTTTTGTAATTGAAATATAAGCTTTATTGTTGGTTTTAAAACTTCATCCATATTACATTTGTTTTCATTATGTTAAACCATTAGTTCAAATGATTTTCGATAGAAGTGACAAGTAGAAATTCTTTAGTTTTTTTTTTCGTAAAATTTTTTTCTAAAAATCAATTTTAGAGATCGTCCCCAACACATTATTTCTTTTATAGACTATTAACATTAGTTATTTAATGACAGATAGTAGTTTGAATGCTTTTCGAAAATGTCAAGTAGAAAAAGGAAGGAAAAATTTAGATTAGAAAAAGCAATCCTATTTTCAGGAACCAACAAATTTTCAATCAATCGAAGATCTTGAATGAAATGTTATTGATCATTGGCAAAATAATACATCTTAGAGTTATTGAAATAAAAGAAAGTGACTATTGTAGTGATCATTATTCAGATGAAACCTTTGCAACTGTTGAAACTGTAATGTAATCGTTAAAATTTTCAAATCAATATCCAATTGGTTGGCATTCAAAAATTAAATGATCTATTGAACAAACAAATAATTATTTAGATGATATTTGAAATCTTTAGCAGGACCTACTGCATCGCTTGGTTGTGCAACTGAAAATGGTTTTAAAGGTTTAGCTAAAAATAATCGACGTCATATTCTCTTAGTGCCAATTTTATAAACAACTGAGTAAATTAGTGCGTTATTTTACAAATAGCCAAATCGAAAGCTACCAGTTGAATCACAACATGATGTGATAGATTGCATTTTATTATCAAGAAGATTTTCACAACACTTTTGACGTTTTGAAAAGATTTATAATAAGCATATTGCCTTTTACTCCATTTTCTAATAAGTTGCTTATATATTTAGTATTTTTCTTTATTTTAGAATCATTAAACAAAACTTTGAATATATATTTAAATCAACAGAAAAAAGAATTTATGTAAGTAATTACTATTCGATCGTCTCGTTTACACTGTCATCGTTTGACGTCCGAACTATCATTATTGTAATTATATTGATTATGGTTTCCTTTTGTTAGTTTTTATCAGAAGTCTTTTGACACTGTGAGAGATCTTAATGTCATTTGTAGTTTATTTCTGAATGTATCTCGATATATTTAGATCCTTCATAACAATATAACGATTATTTAATTATAGGGTACTAGCAGAAGAGAGAAAATGATACGATTAAATATCCCGTAGATTATGAAGAAGAAAATAAGATCAAAACAAAATGAAAATGCCTATGATATGTACATATGTAGCTATATGACAGGAAACAAAAATTCATGACGCATGGCTAATAACACAAGAAAATGGGAAGAACTTATACATGGATATGATCATATAAATAGAAAAGAAACTCTTATAATCTCATTTAACCCTTTGAGGACGGGATTACTTTTCAAAAAGATCACGTTCTCGAAACTTCGCAAGAATATGTCGGCTAGAAAGGGCTATC